AAAACTTAACAGATTAAATGTTCATTTATATGTGCTCTATAGTCTATTAAAATATTTATATATATTTTTTATCTTTTTGAGACAGGATCTCCCTGTAGCCCCAGCTGTCCTGGAACTGATTATGCAGACCAGGCTGGCCTTGAACGCACAAAGATCCGCCCGCCTCTGCCTCCCAAGTGCTGGGATTAAATACAGGAACAAAAATTCTTCTTGATCCTCAGTCACCTTTCACAGTTTAAAGGCTGAGACTAGAAAGTTTGAAAATTGCTACTCTATAGTCATTTAAATAATCTGAAAAAGGCTAAATAAACAAATGATCATTATAAAACAAACACAAATGCTCTCAAACAAGAAAAGTCAGCACCCCTCAAAAGAAGCTTTGGTAGTCAAAGAAAGACTTAGTCTACTGAAAGGGATGTGACACAAATAAGACAGTTATTAATGCAAATTAAAAAAATTATAATTGAGTGACTGGCTGGTAAGAAGATGGAAAAGAATATTACTTTTATCAAAAATGGAAATTGAATAGCATTAAGCTAAAGTAAGAAATACGACTTTAGAGCTAAATTGATAGTAGGAGGAAATTAACAAGACTTATAATAAATTTTAGGAAAGAAGTAAGCTAGGAACAAACTATGCAGGGCACAGCTAAAGCCAAGGCCAATAGCATTTAATTCAAAGAGACAAAGCAGGCAGCCAAAACATCTTTGTTGCTCACACACTTTCCCAGGGTAACACATGCCTTATGATATAAATGTAGATGCTTAATCCTTCCTTCTTTCGACCAGGCATTATACATACACTAAACATCTGGCACAACAGATCTAAGTATATAATTAATCCTACTTGTCCCAAAAGTTAATTATGCTGTGAAATAAGAAGTAACTGAAAGAAAAAAAAAAAAAAAACAGTTAAAATGTACTGTCAAGACCTTCTAGACCTTCTTCTTTTCCTTTTTTTTTTTTTTTTTTTTTTTTGGTCTTTTTGAGACAGAGTCTCCCTGTAGGCCCAGCTGGCCTGGAACTGTGTAGACCAGGCTGGCCTTGAACTCACACAGACCCCACCTGCAGCCTGTTTTTAAAACCAGCATGTGCCTTTATTGGACCATCCATTGTTATGGCAGCTCTAGGGAAACTCTTCTCTTGTAATTAGCTCAAGTCCTAAATCTCTGGCCATTAGAAGCAATGTGATACCAACATTTCCTGTGAGGCCACACATTTCTTTTTTGATTACTATTTTCTTATTTTATGTATATGAATGTATTGCCTTCATGTATATAAGTACACCTGTGTCGTACAATGTCCATGGAGGTCAGAAGAGGGAGGTCAGATCTCCTGAAACTGGAGTTACAGACACGGCTGTAAGCCACCATATGGGTGTTAGGAATCGAACCCGGATCCTCTGAAAGAGCAGCCAGTGCTCTTAATCACCGAGGGATCTCTCCACCCACGTGGCCACACATTTCAACAAGGTTTGATACTAAGAAAGCTTTCACTGGCACTTCTATGATCTGGGTGTATTTAAAATTTAATTTTTATCTTATGAATATGAGTGTTTTCTGCATGCATGTAAGTGGACCATGCGTACAATACCTACGGACAACAGAAGGGGGTATCAGAGCACTGGGACTAGAGTTAAGGACAGTTGTTAGCCAAGAGCAGTTAGTGTTCTTAACTGCTGAGCCATCTCCCTAAGCCCCTGAGTTTTTACATTTAAGAGTCACCCTACACAACTTCTACCAATAAGAAGTTGCTCCAGAAATGTGTGAAAGATGCTGATATCTTTCAGGATACATTCTTTGGAAAGTTAAAATATGTCAGTGTGTTAAGACATAGCTCAGATTTTTAATAATAAAATTATTCAAGTCATTGTAAATACATTTTCATGAGAAATAATCACCATTAAAGTTTGGATATCTATCAGCAAAGCTCTTGAAATCTTACTATTCCTTCAAATGATTTAACTTAATATAATTTTTCCATTATTCCTAACCACTTTCTGTAATCAGGTTATTATCTTTAGTCTTACTTAGACGTTCATTAATAGTTTTATCAGTTAAGTTACTAAGGACTTCAGTTGAGTATCTCAAAATGTTTTAAGAAGCTACTAGTACTCACTTAACATTTTATGACATATAATTTTGATTCTTCATGGTTAAAAACAGTGACTACCAAAATATAAGAAATATTCCTTTGAAACTATTTGCATTTTCCTTAATCATAATTTGAACAAACTTACTCGTTTGAAGTCATTCATATTTGTTGCCTGGACTGGAGTACCAATAAAAGTAAAATATGAAATTCTTGTTGTTTCTTCTTCACCTTGATTAGACTGAACAAATATCTGTCCAAAACAGGAAAAAAAATTTAAAAGTCACATCTGTCATTTGTTACTACAATTTATTTTTCGTGACTATGCATTAGTTTACTTTTATCAATAAAAATACCCTCCATTCTTTATAAGGATGAATCTAAACTACAGTATGTTTACACTAGTGCTCCTAAATTACTGTTAATTCCACTGCTTGCACTGCTATTCTCACCTTCTCTAGGGATGTTATGACAAGACACTCAAATATACAAGTTCATGATAATTTAGTGTGATGGTTAGGAGTCATACCTAAATTCTTTATAGAGAATGCTGAAAGAGTATGAGATTCACTGAGTACAGTGGGACAGACTGTTGAATCATAGTCTTACACTGTGGAAAATCTCTGCAGTTATGTTCTTTCTGATATTCATGCATCCATTCTATTTCTTAGAATATTAAAAGAAAAATATTTGAAATTTTCTCCTAAAACTAACGTTCTTCATATTTTTAAAGGCCTGATTCTATACTTCCGGTTTTAAATCTCCCTCAGTATGTTAAGAAAAGAAGCGTTACTTTCATTGGACTTAAAAAAAATTTTCCTCCAATTGAAAAATGTAAGAATCTAAAGATGCTGTCGACTGAAAAATACTGTCTCTTATGATTTGGATACCATACTTTGTTCATTCTAAGATGTTACTCACTGATGAATTTTTTTGTTTGTTTTGAGACGGGGTCTCCTTGGAACCACAGGATAACCTTGGTCTCAGAGATCCACCTGCCTCTAAATCCCCAGCGCTGGGATTAAAGGATTGTACCATCAATTTTTATTGTTATTTTCACGGGCAACCACAGATTCAAACTGTTTATTTAATCAATTTAAAGTATATAATAAATATGCCATTAAACTAGTTCTGTGCTTATTTATAATGTACTTACTTGCTCTTTGAAACTAAGCATGACTGCTTTTATTCATTGCTTTTAAAGTTCATCTTATTTGATTAAATTATGACTATTACTTTAATCCTAACTTTATCATAATAAAGGTGATAGGTATGCCTTTCTCTGCCTTCGTTTAAGCCACTAACACTTGACACAATGTATAGTGTCTTGAGCCTATTGCAAGATGACTACCTTAAGTGATTCCCATTGATAGAGGCAGTCACTTCAGAGATGTCCAAATCAAGGACTCTGTATTATTTTTAACCCTTGACTGACTCTCTTTCATCAAGGGCCCAAAGGAGGATGGTGGCAGGAAACATACTAGTTTCAATACTCAAATTCTCAAAAGCAGTAATAACTGCTAAAAATGAGTTGACCTTTTTCTAGCACCATTTTTAATAACTTTTAAAATAGAACACGACTTAAAAATAATTTTACTAAATATGTCAATATTTAGACATACTTAGCTACTTCTTAAAACATAAAATGATCTTTTAAAAAAGTCATTTTAAGGTAAGTGAGGCATCTCAAGTGTGTAACCCCAGCATCTGGGAAGCTGAGGCAGGAGGGCAACTGCAAATTTGAGGCCACCCTGGGCTATAGAGTGAATCCAGGCCAATTTGGGCTACAGAGTGAGGATGTCTCAAAAAAACAAAGAAACTAGCCAATTTTATTGATACCATCACCACTACACTATAAAAAACTATACGCTAGAAAATTAAACGGAATTTTTACAAAGACAGCATGCCCTAACATCAGGTTCTGATTAAGTATAAATACTACTAGTTTAAGTGCAAATGTTCTAGAAATGAAAGGCCTCATGAACCAACCCAAGCTCCCCTAATCTGGTCTGTCTTCTTTAGGGTACACAGTCAAAGAGAATAAAAATTAATTAGCCCACTATACACTTGTATTCATTTCAAATTACTGGACTAACACTACTTTTTAAAGATTATTTAGAAACACAGAGAACACTGAACACTGCACTGTTACACACAAATATATACTAATGAAATACTTACAGTTACACTGTTAACATTCTGAAATTTAACGTAACGAAGTGGAACAATGCCATCTTCTTTAATATCATCTTCTGTCAGTTTCAGAGCTTGAGTTGGTTCACTTCTTTCTGCCTCCTCAAAATCCATAGATCGGGGTAGATTGATAAAAATTTTTACGTATTTAGGACCCTGACCTATAAAATGGTTAAAAAAAATGAAATGCTAAAAATTGCAAACATATTATACTTTTCCTTTACCATTAAACACATCTTATACAGACCTTTATATGGGTCCACATAAATATCTGCACATAACTACATACAAACCTTCAAAGATTTCCACTAGAACTTGTAAGTATCAGAATACTAACAGCCAATCTTTAGTTTTTTCCAATATTCATTTATTGGTACCTTTCTAGCCTAGAGATACTATACATTAAGAACACAAGCTAACCATTAGTAATAAGAAATTAAAACACACATTTATACACATATATTCGGACACACAGGTCTCAATGACAGAATGAAATACTATGTAAATATAACATCAGTGAGGAGGTAGATGAAGATGGTAATGCATTCTGACAGTATTTGAGCTAGGTCTTACAACTGTCAACAATTGGTACACTGTTACCAAAGACAAAAGCATTATCAGTAACAATGTTTAACAAAAAAGGAATTACACATAAATAAATAAAAATCTTAATTCCTTTAATGTCAATGTACGATATAAGACTCGTATTTTATGAGCCTGACTAAGTAATACTAAGATTAATTTCTGTAGAACTTACGTTTGCAAGTACCTCATATTTTTAGAAAAGTATAATTTGATCAATGAAAAAATATTTACATATGGAAATTTAAAGCAACATAAATAATAAACATTATTAAGCAAGGCCTTGGCTATTACCCCAATCAATTAAAAAGAAAAGCATGAGCCAAGCATGGTGGCAAATGCCTTTAATTCTAGCACTGGCAGAGGCAGGCATAATCTCTGTGAGTTCAAGGTCAGCCTGGTTTACACGGTGAGTTCCAGGATAGCTGAGGCTATAGGGAGACCCTGTCTTGAAAAAAAGACCAAAAAAAGAGAAAAGCATGGGCTGGAGATGGTTCAATGGTTAAGAGCACTGACTGCTCTTGCAGAGGGCCCATGTTTGGTTCCCAATACTCACACGGAGGCTAACAATCACCTGTAACTCCAGTTCCAGGGAATTCAACACCCTCTTCTGACTTCTGTGGGTATTATACAACACAAGCACACTTACATACATGCAGGCAAAACACTCAAGCATATCAAATAAAAATAATAAATGTTAAAAAAGAAAAAAAGACCTCGCAGGCTGCCTGTGAGTGCCTGGATCCAGCCTCCTGGGGTGGTAAGCTTCCTCAAATCACTCAGTGCCTAACACCCTAATTGAGACCACATGAAGTACCTCCCACTTTGCTAGGGCTAATCCTATCTGCCCTACAGTAGGGGCTGAGACTTTAGCAGACCCCTGAGAGTGCCCGCAGCTGGCCCTGCTGTGGTGGTGAGCATCCCCAAATCGCTGCCCTGCCCAAGCCCCTAATTAGGATGTGAGGCCCCTCCCACTGCACCAGGGCAGACTTCTCTGCCCCACAATAGAGACTAAGACCTTAGCAGACTGCCTGAGAGTGCCTGAATCAGGCCTCCCCTTAGCGAACTTCCCAAATTGTGCTGTGATTGCCCGCTAGTACGGGTCCAGACATTAGAAGGAAGATGAAGTGTACCTGACTGGAGCCTGACTTGGGCCTCTGTGGAAACTCCTCAGTAGCTGAACTGAAGCCATCAGTTCTCTCCAATATAAAAGCTGAGAGAACCTGAAACCTAGACCGACCATTTTATATACCCAGTAAGAAAATAACCTAGGCACACCAATAATACAAACAGAAGCAGACTTCAACTCAACAAAGGCTTGAGTTTCATACCAGAATCACAAACAAAAGAAATCCACATATCAGAATCACAACAGAAAAATGGTAATATGGAAAACCAAAAGAGTATGTTCCCACCAAACTCCACCAGCCCTATAGAAGAGTTCTACAAGGAGAACCCCCTAGAGAAAACCCAGGACACAGAATTTAAAAGAACAATCATAAACATGATCAAGGAATTCAACAATTTAAAGAACACACAATCAAACAAATCCAAGAACAGAAAGAAGATAGGGATAAACTTTTGAATGAATTCACAAAAAAGAGAAATACTGAAGACAACTCAGGCTGAAATGAAGAAGTGAAAAACTCAGTAATTCAATTTGAAACAATAGGAAAAAGCCTTACCACTAGAATGAATGAAATGAAAAACAGAATATAAAGACTGGAAAATAAAGTTGAAGAACTGGGCTGCTCAAGCGAAGATTATGAAAAAAATTTTAAAAACACAGGACTGGAATATGCAGGAGATGTGGGACACCATGAAAATCCACATATGAAGACGAAATCCACGCATCATAGACATAGATGTAGATTTTAAGGTTAATGGTATTGACTAGATCTTAAACAGGATTGTAGAAGAGAATTTCCCCAAATTAAGGAAAGACATGCCCATAAAATACAAGTAGGACATAGAACATCAAATTGACAGGACCAGAAAAGAAACTCCCCAAGGCACATCATAGTAAAAACACTAAATGTACAGAACAAAGAGAGAATACTGAAAGCCGAAAAAGAAAAACAACTTACACATAAAGGAAAACCCATCAGAATTACAGTTGACTTACCAATGTAAACTATGAAAGCCAGAAGAGCCTGGACCAAAGTATTTCCAGTTCTAAATGACCACAGATGCCAACCCAAGGTTACTAGACCCAGCCAAAATGTCTATTATAGTTGAAGGGGAAAGAAAAATCTTCCATGACAAAATAGGCTGAAAGAATACATGTCCACAAAACCATCCCTTCAAAGAATACTTGAAGCAATACAAAGAATGGAGAAAGGAACAACTATACCCCAGAGACAACAGAAAGAAAGTAAATGAAGGTATAATTATAGAAACACAAAATTAGACAAAGAATGCAAACAGTAATTGAAATGATGGCAAACAATACACATCTTTCAATAATAACTTTAAAAATCAATGGACTGAACTCCCCAGTCAAAAGACACTGGCTAGTTGAATGGATTAAGAAACAAAATCCATTCCTTTGTTGTCTACAGGCACTACCTTAAGATGAAAGGATGGAAAAGAATAATCCAAATAAAAGACACTAAGAAACAAGCAGGGGTTGCAATTCTAGTTATCTGACAAAACAGACTTAAAACTAAAAGTAATCAGAAGAGCTAAAAAGGGTCACTTCATTCTGATCAAAGGAACAATTGACCAAGAAGATAATGCAATCATGCACCAAACACTGGTGCATCCAAATTCATAAAAACAACACTACAGGACTGATGTTTTCTTTTTCTTTTTGAGGCAAGGTCTCCCTGTAGCCCCAGCTGGTGTGGAACTCACTATGTACACCAGGCTGGCCTCGAACTCACAGAGATCAAGGGCCTGCCTCCCAAGTGCTAGGATTAAAGGTGTGCACACCATGCCCAGCTCAACACTACAGGACTTTAAAACACAGATTAACCCCAACTCAGTAACAGTAGGGGACATCAATACCCCACTGTCTCAATTAGCCAGGTTAACTGGGCACAGAATAAACAGAGACATCTGAATTAAATGACATCATACATCAAATGGACCTAATGGACATCTACCTAATATTCCACCCAAGCACCAAAGAATACATTTTCTTTTCAGCACCCCATGGAACTTTCTCAAAAATTGACCACATACTGGGGCACAAAACAAACCTCAACAAATATTTAAAAAATGAAATAATTCCATGCATTCTATCAGACCACAACACAATAAAGCTTAAAATAAACACTGGAAGTCCTAGTAAATACACAAACTCATGGAGATTAAACAACATACTCCTTAATGATGAGTGGGTTAAAGTGAAATTAAGAAAGAAATAAAAGTATTCCTGGAATTAAATGAAAAGGACAATATGACACAACTAAACCTCTAGGATGCTTTAAAAGCAGTCCTCCTAAGAGGGAAGTTCATAGCTCTAAGTGCCTACATTAAAAAAATAGAAAGAGGGGCTGGAGAGATGGCTTAGCGGTTGAGAGCACTGACTGCTCTTGCAGCGGACCCGGGTTCGATTCCCAGGACCCAAATGGCGGCTACATACCATCCTTAACTCCAGTTCCAGGGGAATCTGGAGCCCTCTTCTGACCTCCGTGGCATTGCAGGACATGGGTACACTCACATACATGCAGGCAATACACTCATACACATAAAATAAAAATAAATATTTAAAAAAAAACTTGTTAAAAAAATTGAAAGAGCACAAGTAAATGACTCAACATTACAACTGAAGACTCTGGAAATGCAAGAACAAATGAAACCCAAACCCAGAAGATAAGAGAAATAACAAAAATCAGAGAAGAAATTAATGAAATAGAAACAAAGAAAACAATACAAAGAATTGATGAATCCAAGAGCTGGTTCTTTGAGAAGACAAACAAGACAGACAGACCGCTAGCCCTGTTAACCAAAAGAAAGAAAGAGCACCTCCAAATCAACAAAATCAGAGATGAAAGGAGAAACATCACAACAGACACCAGAAAGATATAGAATATTATAAGGGAATACTTTAAAAACCTATACTCTATTAAATTTGAAACTAAAAGAACTGGATGGATATCTAAAATTATGGGAATCACCAAAGTTAAAACAAGAGACCAACAGCTTAAACAGACCCATAATATAGAAGGAAGTCGAAAAAGTAATACAAAACCTTCCGACTCAAAAAAATCCAGGACCAGATGGACTTACAGCAGAATTCTACCAGACATTTGAAGATCTGCTACCAAAACTACTTAAATTACTCAAAAAGATAGAAGCAGAAGAAAAACTCCAAAATACCTTCTATGAAGCCACCATCACTCTAATACCAGTATCAGGTAAAGACACAACCAAAAAAGAAAACTATAGACCCATATTCTTAACGAACATAGATGCAGAAATTCTGAACAAAATACTTGTAAACCACAGACAGACACACATCAAAGAGATCACCCACCATGATCAAGTAGGCTTCACTGCAGATATGTAGGAATGGCTCAATATATGAAAGTCAATAAACGTTATCAATCATATAAATGGACTCAAAGACAAA